GTGCACCAATTCGCTGCTCATTTTTGTAAATCAAATACTGCAAAGCAGCCAATATTATCTATTGCCACTTTTTTTTTTCTGTTCCCGGAGATTGGACTCAGAACCTTGTGCTTGTGAGGCAGGCGCGGTGCCATTGAGGTAAATCCCTGGCCCCTCTATTGCTACTTTTAATAGCAGAGTTAAGAAACTGCAACAGGTACCATGTGGCCAGCAAAACCTAAAATACTTACATGGGCCTTTAAAGTTTGCTGCCTCCTATTCTAAAACATTTATACAGGCTTTGTTTTTTGGTATGGGGGATCGAACTCTGGACCTTGTGTTTGCAAGGCAGGCAGCGGAACAACTGAGCTAGATCCTCAGCCCTATATAGGCTTTGTTTTTAATTCCAAAGTGAGACTCAAAACTACATACAACTTTCCTCTCTTATGGAGGAAACTAAGGCTGAGAGATTTTAAGTGAATTATCTAAGCTTAGATGTAGGTGTGGAAATAGAATTTAAGCCTATATTCTGAGTCCCAGCCTGCTCTTCATCTCGGGGCATTGTTAGTGGATTTCTATGATGTATCAAGTAAAAATATGTATGTGCGGTTTTACTATGGTGCTCTATCTGGAAACTTCAAAATGAAGCAAATTTAATGGAACAGAGTCACAGTGACCTGAGTAATGGAATTATGCCTTCCTGTACAATAATCTTGATAAATAAAACTTTCAGTGTGGATGGAGTTAAGCCAGTAACTTACAATACTCTCAACTTAACCCAATGACCAGATGAATCATAAGCTGAAATTAATTAGCTGACAATTTGTTCGTCAGAAAAATAGCAATGCTATCAGTGCAATGCTCTAGGGAAATAAAATGCAGATGTAAATCCTGCACGTACACACACAGGCAGGCAAATAGGGATACAAAGATTTAGGCATTACTGGAATGCCAAGCTACATGAACTTAAATAAACTTTCTGAGAGCAGTGGGGATCCAAACATGGTTTGGGGTTTAGGGAATAGCTGCAGCCTTAGATATAATGACAGCAGTGAGGTTACGCCAGTTTAGGTCACAATGATTCCAAGAAATTGTCTGGCTCTTCCTAGAGCTACATGAGGAGTTGAGAGCCCACCTTCCTCAGAGTCATCAATATGACATTATATTTTTTAAAAGGCACCAGATAAAAGTTGGAAAGCCAATTATCTATTTGTATTTGGAACAACTTTGAAAAAAATTACAAAAAATCTTCATCTGATGTTTTAAGTTTTTTACAGGGAGAATTTTTTTTTTTGGTACTGGGGATTGAACTCGGGACCTTGCACTTGCAAGGCAGGCGGCGGAACCACTGAGCTAAATCCCCGGCCCTGTTTTAAGTTTTTTAATCAAAGAATTTATAAGAAAGGCACTGTAGATGCTGGTAAAATGGGGACAGGGTTAATGTGAGTGCTAGGAATATGATATTTTAAACAGGTGGCTAGATGAAGCTAGGAAAAAAATGAGCATCGTGGTGTTCTTTAAACACTTTCACAAGATGAGGGAGGGAGGCCACTGAAAGGGCCACACACACTTAAGAGATGTTTGGAAGCAAAACTGGCACAGTATGGCCAGGGTGACAACCCAAACCTAGAAAAGGATGGTGAAACTGCTAAAAATTGGAAATATAAGAGCAATCCAGAACTTCCATGAAGGAAGTAGAATAAGCTCTGTTTACCATGTGATGTATATGGTATTGGAGTTATAGAATTAGTGAAGCCATCTAAGCCTTACTCTCTCAAGGTTGTGGGATATGCAGGAAGCAAGTACAGGGACTTAGCATCTGAGATGTCAGCCAAGAAGCAAAAGTTGTGAATGATCTTTACAACTGTTTTAAAAGACTGCCAGGAAAGATGGACAAAATAAGGTCAAAGATAGCACCTGGGAAATATACATTTAGGAAACAAGAAAAAACAGGAAGAGACTAGGAAAGGAATGGTTAGAGAAGTACAGAGTTGGGGCAAGACTGTAGGGTCACTTTTTATGGGCCAGATACTGAAAACCAGCTAAAAACCACAAGAAAAATAGTCCATGCCTTGGAAGGTCAGTTTCCAAAGCTGTACTTTACCATGTTGCCAGCAAAGTATTAAGAGGAAGTCACAAATGACAGCTAGTTCTACCTATGTCTCAGAAACAAAAGTTTCAACAGGTATGTGAAAAGTTTTAAGGAATCTTTTCAGAATTATTTCTCCCTGTAGTGGAGAGAAAGACATTAGATAAATCCTCACTGAATATGAGAGTAGGTAACTTAAGGGAGAAAAAAAGACTTTATAAAGTTTTCAAAAAAGATGCTGAAAAGAGCAAAAAAGCAGAAAGCAGAAGACATGGATAAAAACGCCGGGTTTTTTTTAGTCTTAACAGATACACAATTCAGACATGCCACAAATTCACCTGAGTCTCTCTGTAATGAGTTAAGTGGAATAAACTCCAATACCCTCCTCACCACTCCCACTCCCATGCTGGTGACTGAACCTAAGGCTCTATACATGCTAGGCAAGCACTAAGCTTCTTTTAACACCAAACTTTTATGAAAACCATCAATATGTAGCAAAAAAGGGTGGAAACTATCCAAACACTGGGAGAATGATTATATGGTACACTAACATCATAAAACACTGAGGACATTAAAAGCAATATTGCAGAAGACTATGTGGGGAATATTTCATACTTCTCATTCATTCAACCAATTTTTTTACATTTCTACTAAGTGTCAGGAAAGGGTAGTGTTACAAAATCAAAGATGAGTAAAACATATAAAAAGCTGATTAGCAGGGCTGGGAGTGTAGTTTGGTGGTAGGGTTCCATGTCCAACACTGAAAAAACAAAACACCAGAAGCAGCTTACAGTCCAGTAAACTGGCAGTTACAATAACATATAAAATGTGACCAAGGCCCTAAGAGGAAAAGGTGTTATGGGATACATAGGAACACATCACCCAGGCTTAAGGCAAAGAGGAATTCAAAGACGTTTTCCGAAGATCAGGCTATCAAAGCTGACATCTAAGTAGCTAGCCCAAGGTGGAATAATCAAAAGAGAGGCCCTGGGACCGGAGATTTACCTCAGTGGTTCTGCCATTTGCCTCGAAAGCACAAGGTCCTGAGTTCGATCCCCAGTACCAAAAAAAAAAAAAAGAGAGGCCCAGAAAGGGAAGAAAAGAATTACATAGAATGATAGAGACAGGTGACAGGAGAGAAATAAGCCAGTAAGATTTTTCTTTTTTGAGACAGGTTCTCAATATCTAATTCAGGTTGGCCTTAAACTCACTGTGTAGCCTAGGCTGGGCTCAAACTCACAGTGATCCAATTGTCTCAGCCTCCCAAATACTAGGATTACAGGCATGCACCACTAAGCCAGGCAAGCCAGTGAGATTATAAAGAATTTGCACGCCTTGCTACGAAGCCCGAGGGCAACAGAGACAAGAAGTGGTACCTAAGAAAGGTCCAACTGAAGAATTTTGATAGGCAGCTGGTAACAATAATAAAAGTCATATGAACAGTCACATAGGTTTGGGAGTCCCAACAGACAGCAACTCAAGCCGCTGGAACAGAAACTTCAAGTACAAAGTGTGGAAAGTCACCACAAAGGTGATGAAGAGCCCTACGGATGCCCCTGCCCCACACACTGGCCTCTAAGAAAAAGGCAGAGGGCCAGGGATTTAGATCAGTGGTACTGAACCTGCCTTGCAAGCAGAGGTCCTGAGTTGAATCCTCAGTACACGGAAAAAAAAAAACTGCAGAGGAGTAAAAACCACTCTCCTTGAGCATTAAGTGATAAAATCAGCTGTGTACTTAAAAACTTTATGCATGCCTTAAAATTTTATTTACATGATAAAACTTAATGATTATACTAAATGGCTATAGATTATAATTTTATTTGAAGCTCAACACAAGGAATGGATGTTTAGAAAATAATAAATTTATCTTTCAAAATTAAATGCTTTTCTATTTATATAATCAGTGTTAAACAGTCAGTCTTTAACCAAATATGATAAATCATGGAAAAGTTGTTATTATACATAGACAGCTTTTTAGAAACACCTCTACAGGTATAAATTCTTTTTTTTTCGGTACTGGGGATTGAACTCAGGACCTTGCACTTGCAATGCAGGCACGGCACCACTGAGCTGAATCCCCGGCCCCTCTACAGGTATAAATTCAAAAGTCAAAAAAAAAAAAAAATCAAGCTAGACATACATCTGTAATCCTAGCACTATGGGATGCTGAGGCAGGAGGTAGCAAGTTTGAGCCCAGCATGGGTAACTTAAGAGACCCTGTCTCAAAATTTAAAGAAGGGCTGGGCTGGGGTTATAGCTCAGTGAGAAGGCCCTGAGTTCAATCCAAAGTACCACAAAAAATAAACATCAAAGTACTTTGAGAGCAGGATGAAGTTTCTTCTTTAACACTGCTAAAGCACATACTACCATAATTACAATGGCACCTGTAACACAACTCATAAACTTACCCCTTCCCTACCTTCTACCACACGACTACTTCCTAGACAATCCAGGAAGTGCTTGCTGTCTTGCTCCTGCTGGGTGATGGCTCAGTACTTGCCCTGGTCTGTGCTGCCACACCCACCACTGGCCTGCATTTACTGCACAACTTACACACAAGGTAAGGCAAGTACTGTTACTTTCCCAAAGGTGCACATTCTTGTGAAGTTTCATCAATGTCACAGTCACAGGACTAAGACCACATCTTACAATACTATGTAACAGCCAGGAGTGGTGTCACAGGCCTGTAATTCCAGCTATTTAGGAGGCTGAAGCAGGAGGATCAAAAGTTTAAGGCTGGCCTGGGCAACTCAGCTAGAACCTGTCTCAAAAATAAAAGGACAGGGATGTAGCTCAGTGGTAGGGCACTTGCTTAGCACGTGTGAATCCCTATTTGATTCTTAGTACTGCAAAAAAACCCCACCAAAAACCAAAAAAAGCTGAAACAAACAAAAAATACTCTATGTGATACTGGGAAAATAAACACACTTGCCTTCTCCCCTATAGTTAAGACACTCAAGATGGGATGGGAGTCAGATCTCCAGAGTAGAGCATTTACTGAGGCATGACCCAGAATAGGAGCAGGTGACTGAGAATATGGCACTTCATGGACCTATAATAAAAGAAAAGGCATGTGAACAACACATAGTTGCTAACAGTTTTGGTCCAGAATCCTGACTATGCTTGGAAATCCCTAACTTGAGTTTTAAGTTAATGTCAACAAACAACCTTAATATAATGAAACCTAAAAAAAAAAGCAAAAAACACATTATGATACAGTAAAAAAAAAAAGCCAGGCATGGTGGTACACATCTGTAATCCCAGAACTGAGGGAAGAGGATCAATGTGAGTTCGAGGCCAGCCTGGGCTACATAGTGAGTTCAAGGCCTTCCTGGAATACCCAGTGAGACCCCGTTTTTTGTTTTTTTTTTAAAGGCGTGGAGTCTGAAGGCCCAAGGATTCTATCAGTGACTCAATCAGTAAATTTTGGCAAATCAGATCAGATCTGTATTTTCAATCTTCTTATTATGCTGAATATACAGATACCCTGATGTAAATGCATTTCTTACGGTGTGGCTCATTTAATGGCATTCCAGCTTTTCTGACTGTGAGTCAGGGTAAGCAATGTCTCTTACATCAAGGTAACTGCATATATAAAATATACAAACATTTCAGGAAACAACTCTTTTCCTTAGAATAAACAGTAGGTAGAAAAACCTTATTTTACTATTACATTTCATTTTTCAAGATGTTAACTGCAACACAAAGCTCACTACCTATCCTAAGTAACAATAAATGATCATCTAACCTTTTTACGCTATTTTGACTCTAACTGTATTTAATGCACTGAAGTTACTTAATATTTGTAATATCAGCCACCAAGTGCTAAATTTTGACTTGTGTTGTCATAAACAAATGTCAACTATATATTACTGATGTATCACTGCTCAGCTTGAGAAACAACTCTAACTACTCTGATCACCCACTTGCTTTAGGAGGCTTCGTGGAAATCAAATGAGGCAACTTATGTGCATGCAACCATTCTGAAACTAATGTAACCAAATGTAAGACATTAGCCAAATATACAAGCAGTTGTCACTCAAAATCTTTATAAAGCTGTTTCAATAAGGTGATGTGACGTAACCATGCAATACTTTTATTTTACCCAAAATGTTCATAGTAGAATTGTTTTTAAAAACTTAATGTTTAAATAAAATATTTATTACAGTAAAAGATACATTGCCATTAATTCCCTCTCAAAAATACTTTTTAAATAAGTGTGCTTTTTATTTATCTAATGCACTCGACAAACACCTCAGAGCAAAAGTGGACAGACATACATTTAAGTGTACAGAAGTAAATGTAAAAACTATACCCAGGAAACATCATGAATGAATGTCTATAAAACTCTAGGATTAGAAGACTTGACTTTACACACCAGCAGAGCCAGCAACTTTACAAGGTTAAAAAAAGATTTTTTTTCTTCCCACCACTTATAAACTCGAAGACAGGTAAAATTAAACCAGGCACGGTGGCACATGCCTGTAATCCCAGCACCTGGGGGGCTGAGGCAGAAGGATCACTGGGAGTTTGAGGCCAGCCTGGGCTACACAGTAAATTCAAGGCCAGCCTGAACTACATAGTGAAACCTTGTCTCAAAATCAGAAAAAGCACCACCATGCCTGTAATCCCAGCACTTGGGAGGCTGAACAGGAGGACTGCTGCAGAGTTCCAGACCAGCCTGAACCTCAAAGCAAGGCCCTGTCTAAAAAAAAAAAGACAATAGCTTCAAGATTGGTGAAGGTATAAGACATCACAACTGAATACACTTGGTGGGAGTGTAAATTGACAGAAACTTTCAGGAAGGCATTACAACAAATTTTTCAAAATATAGAAGGTATGTAAGAAGTCAGGTATGTGCATGCTTGGTTATCCCAGAACTCAGGAGGCTGAGGCAGGAGGATTGCTATGAATTCAAGGCCAGCTTGGGCTACACTGAGTTCAAGGCCAGCCTGAACTACATAGTAAGACCCTGTTGCAAAAAACAAAAAATAAAATAAAATAGTATACAAGAATGGGCTGGAAATTCCACCAGTACAAACATATCCCAAGGAAATGTGCAAAAATGTACATGCCACAGGGAAGGGAATAGGAAGAGCAGCAGTACACACAATAATGAAAGAAAAAAAAAGATCACAGCACATTTAACTATAGAATGAGATATCTGTCAGCTTAAAAAGGTCAGTAAAAATGCTGATATAGATCTTTATTAACAAGAGAAGAGACTCACAGTACACTAAGAAGGTTATACTGTATGAGCTCTCTTAGTTAAAAAAAAATAAATGTTACACCATCTCAGGAAAGATATATATACTCGAAGGCCAGTGATGAAATCAGGCAACTGGCCCACACGGGCCTCTCTGGGAATTAAAGGGCACCTCTCCTGGCAGACAGCCTCACAGGAACTCAGCTCTCCAAACTGAGCTTGCCTTTGTGAGAATTAGCACTCATATTCTTGTATACTAGTTTATTATCCCTTCTCTAGGCAAGTCCAGCCACGCTCCAGGGATGATGGATTGCAGCTTCCTCTCCCCTCACCCATATATCCTAAGAGACATACTTGTGTTGGGACAGGAGCAGAGATAATTTTCAGCTATTTATACCATTCTATGCTGGCTTACCATTAGTAAAATGAACAGAGATTTACTACTTGTTGAAAGGAATAATACTGATTCTGAAAAAAGTCTTGCCTTAATCCTTATAAAACTAATCCCAACTTAATTTGTATGTGCTACTACACCTCCTGTACTTTGATAATTTAAACATGTTATCTATTTAAATGCCTATCCCCAAGAAAGTCTCTACCCCAAGATTATACAATATAAAGGTTAAAGGGCACTATCTGTATTAAGAAAAGTCATTCTAACAAAATGAAGCTACTCAATGCTAGAAATAAGACGGCACTGAGAAAGGGAGAAATGATGGGAAAAGTAACCTATAAAAATTAGTATCTCCCCACCACTCAAAATTTCTTAAACAGTACACGCTAGAAGAGAGGAATTAAATCTTAGGAGCCAGCCATAGTGGCAAATACCTGCAGTTCCAGAAATTTGGGAGGCTGAAGCAGGAAGGTCACCTGAGGCCAGAATGATTTACACAGTGAGTTCAAGACCAGCCTGAACTACATAACAAGACCTTGTCTCAAAAAAATTAAAAAGAAAAACAACTGGGCTGGGGATTTAGCTCAGTGGTTCCAGCGCCTGCCTCACAAGCACAAGGACCTGAGTTCAATTCCCGGTACCAAAAAAAAAAAAAAAATAGAAAACCAACTTAGGTCTTAGAAGTGCTCATCATTTTTTTTTCATCCAACTCTGGATATAGGATCTGTTCATCACACTAGTGTGTTCCCAAAAGAAGACAGCAATTTAAACAAAAATCATGAGTGATTACCATGCAGTTAGGCAAGGCATCCATAAAATAATACAACCGCTGGACTAGGATTAAAGGAGAACTGGGTTCTTTTCTTGGCTATATGGAATATGTAATTTTACACAAGCAAAAGCACAACCTCTCTGGGTCTCATTTTTCTCATCTCTGAACTCGAGGTTGGTCCCTTTCAGCTTGATAAGTCTTCAAGTCGCCTTTGCAGCCTGGAGGAGCCCATTTCACTCAGCGACAAGTTTATTTTCTGAGTCATACCTCATTTATTCTCTTTATGCTTCTCTTAAAAATGTCGTGCACCAATAGCTCTCAACTTGGGAAATTTATTCCCACTCAGTAAAAAAAGGTCAAGATCCACTAACAGAACATTTTTCAAAAGGACAAAAAAAAATTAGTTTACTTAAGTGTAAAAGTGAAAATAAAATACACTTGTCCATCCTCATACTGTAATGTAATTTTTCGAACAAAAACCGCACCCTAAAACATCACTACAACAAGTAGTGACGGGATTAAATATTTCTTTTAAAACAAAGAGTTCATGCAGAAACAAGCTGCTAATACAGAACCATCATTCACATGTTTTGAAGGTGGAGGGTGCTGCTCAGACAGGATTTACTTTTCTCCAAAGAAGCAAGTTTGTAAGGAAGACAACCCGCGGCAATTAAAAGAGGAGGCACCACCTTTTTAGGGGCCTTTTCTCGAGTTCAAGTGCATTTTCGTACACAATGTGCTTCTGTGTTCACCTCGCAGGCACACGTCCCCGCGACCCACACTCGCTCGCGACAATCGCTCGCGCTCTCCGACTGGCTGGGGAGGCGGCGTGGAGTCACAAGATAGCGGCGGGAGTGGAAATTTCCTCTCGGCAGCGGGCGCGCTCCGTACAAAGGAGGCCGCCCGGGGCTCGGCCCGCACGCCCGGGGCTCGGCCGGCGAGGACCGGCTTCCGGCCCGGGCAGCACGTGCGCCCACCCGGGCGGAGGAAGGAGACAGGCCGGGGCCGCCCGCGGACACCGCGCCTCGGCGGAGCCGCGAGCAATGAATGGGGGCGCGCTCGGCCTCCGCCCGCGCCTGAGAGCGCGAGGGGCCCACCCGCCGTCCGCCTGCTTACCCCAGCTCTTGGCGGTGCGCCCCAGGAACTCTCGGGTGGTCGGGTTGTACAAGAAGAGCTTCCACTCAGCCAGGCTCTCGTTGAAAGACTTCTTCTCGCCCTTCGTCATGGTGGGCGTGCGGGCGACGAGGCGTGCGGAGGAGCGTCCCGGCGGTAGCGGCGCAGCCCGGCGACGGCGGCGGAGGGCGGAACGGCCCAGAACACCTCCTCCTCACCGGGAACACTGCAGCCGACTGAGCCGCGCTGAGCCGGCGCTCGTTCGGGCCGCGGGTCCTTGACGTCTCCGCCCGCCGCAGCCAATCCCCGCGCTGCTCTGCCGCCCCCGCCGCCGCCCCCTCTGCCTCCCGCCCGCGGCAGGGCGCAGCCCGCGGCGCCGCGCACGCCCCGCCCCTCGGCCCCGGCCCGGCCGGGTCCGGCTCGGAGGATCTCGGGCTCCCACGGCGCTGGCAGGAGGAAGGAAGAGCGACGCGTAGCTGCGCTCAGAGATCCGAAGGGCTTAGTTGACAGCAAGTCCGTAACCGGCGAGAGGTCGGTATCCCAGTCCGTCGCGTTTCGCAGGTAGCGCTCGCAGGGGACCAGGCTCTGAGGAGTTGCTGTCTGCGGCGGCGAGGGTCCGAGACAGCACGGAAAGACCCGGAGTCGTCCTCACCGAGAGGGTACCTCACCTCTGAGCCGTCTCCAGGCGTCGTTCCCGGAGATCTGTGACGTCACGAAGAGATCCCAGCGAGGACCTCGTTCGGGAATTAGCACTGCCGTGAGCCCTGCTGCTCCAACGCTGCCTGCACCCTGGCTCCTTTTAGAGCAGGAATCTTAGGTCAACGGGAATTCCATTCTGAATATGCCGGTGTTAATAATTAAAAAGCAAAATAAAGGATAAGTAATAAGAAGCAAGAAGATAGGTCTTTTGCTCATGGGAAGGGAAGGGCACCAAGAGATGGAGGTAGGGGGAAAGGAAGGGAGAGGAAGAAATAAAGAGAATTAAGATGTGTTATGTGCGTGTACCAACTGCTCACGATGAAAGTGATCATGCACTGCATACATGTACCAATAAAAATCTTAAACCATAAATATGCTGCCATGAATGAAATGGAGGATAGTATAGGTTTTCTCCAGAGTCAGTTTATCAATGAAATCATAGAGGTCCTCTCAACTAAAAGTCACCCCCCCCCCTTTTGGTCGGAAATTCCCTTTTTTTTTTTTTTTTTTTTTGGTACTGGGGATTGAAGTCGGGTCCTTGCGCTTGCGCAGCAGGCGGCGAAACCACTGAGCTAAATCCCCGGCCCAATTCTTAACCTACAGGCAATCAGTACTTTGTTTGGTGTCAATGCCTAAATAATGTTACCTGGTTTCTTCTTTTCTATCGTAGTGGCGCTGCCTTCGGGCGGAGCCAAGGGTGCGGGCAGCGTTTTCCTGTGGGAGGTGGAGCTGAATAGTGTTCTCGGATTGAAGCAACAGAATAAAAAACTTAAAAAGGGTTTGGGCAGAAGATGCGGTTTTCTTTCTGTTTTGAAAAAAGAAACGAAGCAGTGGCTCTGTTAAGTAAAAGTCATTAGTGAAGAAATTATTTGCTACCCTTTTTTTTGCACTTTATTAAATTCTTTTATTGGCACATTGTAGGTGTACAACACAATTACATTTCTCATTGGGAATTGTACCTTTACATGATGCATCTTGGTTCTTATTTTTTTCCCATTCCTAGCCCTCCCTTCACCCCCTCCACCCTTCCCTATTTACAAAGATTTTATTTCCATTTTTTCCATTTCTCAGCATTTTTTCTTTCCCTTCTTTCGTTTCCCCTGCCCCTCCCACTACCCCTACCCCTTTGGACCTTTTCTTCCTATTTTGCATTATCGATTATTCATTCTAATCATTGGTACATTTTAGGTATACAATATAATGACATTCATCATTGGAAATTTGCACCTTTACATAGTCTCTCTTGGTTCTTATTTTTCCCCCTTGCCCAGCCCTCCCTTCAAGCCCTCCATCCCTCCCTATTTACAAAGATTTTGTTCCTATTTTTCCATGTTCTCATATTAATCCCATTCCCTTCTATCCTTTCCCCTCTCCCTCCCACTTCCTTCCCCTTTGGCTCTTTTTTTCCTGTTTCACATTACCTATTATACATTTTAGTCCTTATTTACACTTTCAGTTTCTCACACCAGAGAAACTATTTGGTATTTATACATGTGTGTCCTATTTATTTCACTTAAGAGTATCATCTCAATGTGCATCCACTTAGCTATTAATGTCTCTAATTTCTCATTTTTTATGGCTGAGTAGTACTCCATTTTATAAAAAAACCACATTTTCTTTATCTAGTCTCCAGTTGATGGGCATTTGGGCTGTTTCCAAGTTTTAGCTATCACAAACTGTGCTGCTATGTACATGGGCGCATATATATCACTGTGGTATGATTCTTTTAATTCTTTGGGGAAGATCCCCAGCAGTGGAATAGCGGGGTCAAATGGGACTTCTAGTCCTAGTTCTTTGAGGTATCTCCATACTGATTTCCACAGTGGTTGCACCAGTCTACACTCCCACCAGCAGTGGAGCAGGGTTCCTCTTTCCCCACAGCCCCGCCAGCATTTGTTATTGGTTGATTTCATGATAGCAGCCATTCTTTCTGGAGTGAGGTGGAACCTCAGTGTTGTTTTCATTTGCATCTCTCAAATGACCAGTGATGTTGAACATTTTTTCATGTATTTATTTGCTATTTCTCTTTCTTTGTCTGAGAAATGTCTGTTCATTTCAGATGCCCATTTTCGGATTGGGTCTTTAAATTTGGGAGGTCTGATCTTTTTCAGTTCTTTATAGATTTGAGATAGTAGACCTTTGTCTGAGGAAGAGCAGTTTCAACCTTTTTTTTGCATTTAAGAAAACTAAATTTATAATTATTACTTAGAAAAGATAACCAAAATCCAGTTACTTTTGAGCTAATAACACCAAAAGATCTGCAGAAATATTTTGTAGAATTTGGCACGAAATGTATATTAGAAATAGCAAAACACCATTCAAGCAGACTAGAATACATTTCTTTAGATTATAGGCAAGTTTGAAACAGAACTAAAGAATGGAAAGTTAACCTTTACATCAAATATTAACTATAGCTTTTGCATACCTGTATTCTTGTTTTTTGGTGCCGGGAATCGAACTCCGGTCCTTGCGCTTGTGCAGCAGGCAGCACACCTGTATTCTTAGCACTCGGGAGGCTGAGGCAGGAGGATCGCCACAAATTCAAGGCCAGCCCAAACTACATAGCAAGCCCTTGTTTCAAAAAAAAAAAAAATTAACTACAAATTGCAGATGAGCTAAAATACTGGTAAAATTGATTACAAGCTTTTTAGTTCAGGGAAGAGGGAAGATATAGAGTCTGTTGGAATGAAATATAAAACTCCTTTGCTTTACTTATTTTCTGTGTATAGTAATAATAAGCACAATGTGAAATAATCACACAACACACAGATAGTAGCCAGATCCAATAGATTTCGATTTGGTGAAAAGTTTATATTCTATCCCAACCACATGGGGGCTGTACACTTGAACACTACCTGGAAGAGAAAATATTGACTGTATTGGCGGATATTGACCTACTGAATATAAGCAGATGAGATATCAAATGTAATCACAGTTGTATTCCCTGTTTATTTTGCTAAACCCAACTTACCCCTTTTAAAGAAGCCACTTTGCCAGGTAAAACAGAAGATGCCTACTTAAGTTTGTATTTTAGATAGATGATGGATAATTTTTTTAGTATAATGACGTTACATGGCAGGTAATATTTGGGAGATGGTTACTCAAAAACTATTTTTGTATATTTGAAACTCAAATTAACTGAATGGCCTGTATTCTTATTTACTAAATCTAACAACCTTACCTGTAGAGGGTACTTATGAATCCCACAGAAATAAGAATCATTTATAAATAACTGAAGACCAGACCCTGTACTACTTGCTTAGTGTGATTTATTTTGTAATTGTCATAAAAACCCAAATCTGGAGGTATTGTTTCCCTAATTTTGTAAAAAAGAAAACTGATGTTTGTTGCCGGGGATTTAGCTCAGTGGTTTCGCCACCTGCTGCACAAGTGCAAGGACCTGAGTTCAATCCCTGGTACCAAAAAAATACCCAAAAAACCCAAAAGAAAACTGATGTTTGTAGAAATTCACTAACTCATTTGCGGTCAAAAAGCTGTCAAGTAGCAGCACCTGGATTTAAATGCCTGCATTAACAACACTACCCCCACAGTGAACAGTGCCAGCCTCTGGGGAAGCTCAACAAAGTGCAAGGGAGGCTGAAGGAGACACAACTGTGGGCCTCTTGCTGAGTGCCCACTCCAGATACCAGAACCCATTTCCTGCTTTCTATGGGCATAAGCAAGATAGGTTGGCTACCCCTGGCCCCCTTACTGGGAATCAAACTCAGGGCCTTTCACTTGCCAGGCAGGCACAAATGCTACTGAGCTAAATCCCTGGCCCTTGGTTGGGTCTTAATTTACTGAAACTCTTAGTTTCATTCCTGAATGTTAGAAGCATGTGTACAGGAAAAAAACTTATAAAACTTTCAGTTCTTATAAAAATGACAATGATACCGCATCTATTATTTGTCCCTGGGAGTATAGATACTAAGATTTCCCTACATATAGTCCACCCCAACAAGCAGCAGCTGTAATTGTGTTGGCTGTAACATGGCAGCTGTTGTTATTTGTTAAAATTTTAAAGACTGTCAATTACTGCAATGGTTTGACTATGATTTAAGTGTGATGTTCCAAAGGTGCATATGTTGGAAGCTTAGTTCCTAATATGGCAGAGTTGAAGAAGTAGAGCCTAAGGGTGGGGATGTAGCTCAGTAGTAAGGTGCCTGCCTGGCATGTGTGAGGTCCTGGGTTGCTCCCCAGCAGTGCAAAAACCAAAACTGAATAGCAATGAAGTGGCCCTAGGTCATGGGGGTATGGCCCTCAGAAGGGATTGACCAAGAACCAACTTAGTTCTTTTCTAGGAGGGGCTGTTAGAAAGCAAGGCTATCCCATGTCGTTGGCCCCTTCTATGTGGGGCCAGTACCCTTTCTGCTTCTCCATCATGTTGTGATGCAGCCAGATACTCTCACAAGAGCCAAGAAAATCCTGGTCCCATGCTCTTGAACTACCAGAACATGAGTAAATAAATCTCTGTCACCCCCCACCCCCATACCGGGGATTGAACTCAGGACCTTGTGCCTGCAAGGCAGGCGTGGCACCACTGATCTAAATCCTCCACCCTAAACCTCTGTTTTTTA